TTTTTTTTTGAGACAGGGTCTCGCTATGTAGTTCAGGCTGGCCTTGAATTTACTATGTAGCCTAGGCTGGCCTCAAACTTGTGATCCTCCTGCCTCAGCCTCCCAAGTGCTGCCATTACAGGCACGCACCACCATGCCTAGCTGCCAGCCTCTATTTTTTAGATTAAGAAATAGAGACACAAAGTTTATAAAATGATAAGAGCTGGAGACCTAAGGCCAGAAAATGCTCTAGACCAGTGATAGCAAACCTTTTAGAGAGAAATACCCAAACTGTAACCCAAAACCCAGTTACTTGCCATAAAATGCTAGCAGTGCATTTAAACCTGAATATTAAAATTTTAGTTTAGAAAAACACAGCTCATACATTAACATCTTTTGTTTTAAAACAAAATTAATATGTGTGCTGTAGGTTCACCACCACTGCCTTAGACCACACTTTCACTGCACAGTCTCAGCAGGTGTGAAATTGCTGGTCTGCTAGCTGGCTGTGGTAGCCCAGGCTTATAATTCCAGCACTTGGGAGGCTGAGGCAGGAGGGTCACTGAAAGTTGAAAGCTAACCTTGGCTACATTGTGAGTTCAAGGATAGCCTGGACTACATACCAAGACCCTGCCTCAAAAAACCAAAATAAGTAAACACATAAAATAAAACAAAATAAAAATTAAAATAAATAAATAACAGAGGTACTTTCTAGTAAAAGCCTAGGTAAATAAAATTTTTTAAAGTGTATATACAGAACAATACAATTTAAGTTAAACTTTATGGAAACAAATGTTCATATTTTGTATTTCTGAAAAATCTTAAGACACTTCACAAGTCTGGAGACCTACGTACTATTCCTAAATTTAGTTTAAAAGCTGGGTGCAATGGCTTGTCCCTATAGTCTCAGCTTCTTGAGAGGCTGAGGCAGGAGAATAGCTTAAGTGGGTGTTTGGGCTAGCCTGGGTAGCATAGCAAGACCCCCATCTTAGAATAAAGTAAATGAATAAATTTAGTTTGAGAAAAGCAGCATCTACTG